AATTGTTAAAACACAGAAAGCACTGCCTTGCAAGCATCAAACCTAAGTTCGATTCACTATAATAACTACTCACGCACACACGCACACACAAATTAAAGTCACTGTGGTGGTTAACGCTGTCCATGTGACAGGAACTAGAATCTCTAGGTGATGGACACATCTGTGAAATTCTAGATTGAACTCACTGGTGGGAAAGCCCATTCCAAATGTGGGCAGCACCACTGCATGAGCTGTGAACAGGGGCTGAATGAAGAAGAGAAAGTGAGTGAAACACCAGCATTCATCTCTTCCTGCTTCCTGGCAGTGAATGGAGTGTGGCCAGCTACTCATGCTCCTGCCACCAAGCCTTCCCTCCACAATACCTTCACTATGAGCAACAGGAAAGTACCGAATATAGTCACAAAGAAGAAAGCACCTACTAAACAGATGCAGTCGATGGTAAGACTTGATGCTATACAAGACCACAATTTTTCCTAAATTACTCTGTAAAATCAATGCAAATAACTATTAAAATCTCCTGAGGACTTCTTCAAAGAACTATTCAGTATCATAAAAAGTGTAAAGGATCCAGATGGCTCTGGCAAAGACACTCAAGAGAGGTTCTCTGCTATGTGCTGGAACTTACAGCAGTAAACACAGCAGCAATGAACTGTCACAATAGCTAACAGGTGAATGTAAAGCTGTCCTGAGATGCCAAATTGTTTTGAGCACACATGCTACTACTTTAGGTAATAGCATGACTGGCTTTCTATAAGGAAAACTAAACTATGTAACTTTTCCTATGTCAAATATCCCCTGTACATTTTTAAAAAATCTATGACTATCAACTGTAACATGCAAGCAATTTTATTAAAATACATAATCCCAATATAAACAAACATATACAAGATTCTATTAAAAAGTATTATTTCCTATAAGATGATTTACTGAAAGGTATTCTTTATTCACCGTGGCTGCTAGTTTATATTCAGCTACAAAACTTGATGATTTGTTGTGTAATATGATCATTCTTCATATGATACTGTGTGCCTTCAGATCTTAAAAAGCAGGGGAAATAGTATCTCAATGAATATTATACCCAAAATCCTCAGCAGAATTTTGGAGCATACAGTAAGTCTAAAAACAGTGGGCTCAAGAGACAGACAGCTCAACAGTTTAGGGTAATTAACTGCTTTTTTTGCAGTAGACCAGGTTTGGTTCACAGAACCCACATAATAGGTTACTCCAGTTCCAGGAGGATATGATGCCATCTTCTGGCCCCTGAGGGTACTGCATTCATGTAACATGCATAACATGCAAAATACTCATATAAAAATTAATTTTTAAAGTAGTCAATAAGATTGGCTGTGAGCCATAAGAATAGAAAAGATGGGAGAGTTTTAAAGGGGAAAATTATGGAAAATGTTCTTCAATATAACAATTTAAACAAAAAACAGAAAAGGGGGAAAATAGGACAACTTAGAATAGGCTGTTTTGATGAGTAGAGATAAAATGTACAAAGACAGAAATGTATTTAGGAACAAAATTCTGGAGAACTGACTACAACATGGAACACTGGAAGTTTCCCAAAGATACTTGTAAAATAATTAGATTTAGATTCTCAAGGAAAAATGGGGAACTTAATTTCCAGAGTAACTCGTTAGAAAACGTGTTCTAAACAGGACGTTTACTACAGAACTGCCTGGGTAGAATTTTTACTCAGTTCAGCAATGAGACCTGTACTCTCGCAATGAGACCTGTACTCTCAAAGATAAAAAGTATAAATTAAATGAGACTTAAGTATAGTTCATATTTAGAAGAGGAAGCCATGATGAGTGTTTCTTGCTCAGTGTGGTGGTGCATGCATTCAATGCTAACATTCAGATTTCTGTGAGTTCCAGGCCAGCCAGGGCTACATACTGAGAACTAGAAAGTGGGATGGAAAGGGGAGAGGGGAGACTGGGAAGAGAACTGGGAATAAAGGAGGGGGGAGGGCAGAGAGTTTCTAGAATCTGTGTTTTACCAAAATAAATACCCGTATCAGAATCAATGCTATTTCTCTAAGAGAGCCACCTTGTTCTCATTAACTCTTTAGAGTTTAAATCTGAATCCCAGGTGTCAGCATTAGATGAAGGCAATCTACAATCTTGAGGCTTACACATTTGAAATATGAGCCCCAAAGGCAATCACGTAAGAGCATATGGAAGGCAGGCACGGGAGGGGCAGGGCAGATGTGTAGAGAAGGGATGGGGCACAACCAGGACAACACTAAGCTAGGGAGAAGCAAGGCAACTCTTGCTGGTTCTCTGCACACCTATACACTGCTATCTGTAAAACTGAGGTTGCACTTACAAGTCAAGAGTGTTTGCTGTCACTGATAACTAAACACCCCGCTCTCAAAGACAATAATATTTCAAGTCAGAAAAACTCCTACATAAAATTAAAGTAACACAAATTTACTCTTTCTTTTCTGCTGTGGCTGCTGTAGTAGTGCGCAGTTCCTATTCTGCTTGTGAGACTCCAGAGAGAAGCCCACTGTGCTCTTTGAATAGGACCATGTTGCAAAATATAGATTGGGAGGATAAACAGGTGTCTGAAAGTTTGACTAATTCACCATGAGCTACATACTCCTATTTTATCAGACATTCTTTAAAATAAAAAAGACTACTAAAAAATGAGAATTTCATACCTGAACACTGAATAAAAGTTCTATTAAATTTATTATATTATATACCATGGCAACATACTGAATATTTTATAATGCTTCCTAGGTTTCTCAGTTTACTATAAGCATATGGACATACAGCTGCCTTTTCCCTTCATTTTCACACCTGTCACATTTTATTTACTATCATGAACATAATTGTACACATGAGATTGTCCCTACATAGTTGACTCTCTGGGATATATTTCATGTGGCTTCTTCATCTACTTTGCTGTGCAGAATCTTTGGATGTAATTCCAGTGGTCCACTCCTGCTTTTGATTCCTGTACTTTGGAAACTTATGTAGGAAAATTTTGCCTATATGAGTATTCTGAAGTGTTTTGCTTTAGTATTTTCCAGTGATTTTTAGGTCTTACATAGTTACAATATTTTAAAAAGAATCAGATAAGGGTTCAGTTTGAACTTCCTACATGTGGATATCCAGTTTCCCCAACAGTGGCTATTGAAGAACTGTCCTTTATCCAGTATATGATTTTACCTTCATTTAAAATTAGTTTTTTGAGAATTTTGCACAATGTGTTTTGATCATGTTCAACATGATACTGCTGTATCCTGCTGTGGAATACTCCTGCTGTACACTGTGAAGACGTACTGTGATTACAATTAACAAAAACTGATTGGTTGATGGCTAGGGGGGATTTTCAGGACAGAGAGAATGCTGAAGAAAAGGGTGGACTCAGAGGAGATATGATGTGCAGAGTGAGTAGGATGGGAAGTATGTAAACGAACCTGGGGCTCATAGATTAATAGAAAAGGGTTAATTTAAATTATAAGAGCTAGTTAGAAACAAGCCTGAACTATTGGCCAAGGATTTATAATTAAAAATAAGCCTCTGTATGGTTATTTGGGAACTGGCTGGTGAGACAGAAAACTCCCCCTTCCCAAACAACCCAGCTTTCTGTCCCTTTTGTTTAAAAAGATAAAGTGCAGTTGTTACTGCCGTTATATTTTTGGATATGTTGCTTTCCACTGGAATATGGTGAACCCACCAAATGCCACACCTCTAAAGAAAACTGTGTTTTTTGAGGCAGCATCTCACTGTGTAGGCCTGGCTGACCTTGAACTCACTATGTAGACCAGGTTGGCCTTGCAAGAAGATGCCTCTGCTTCTGTCTGCTAAATGCTGAGATTAAAGGGATAGGCCACCATGCTGGCTTCCTTCCAATATGTATTTTTAACACTCTAATGATAACTGGATCTTGAAGATACTTATTTGAATCCACTTAATGAATCACTGCTTCGCATCTTCTTTTATGCCAATAGTGTATCCACTGTGTTATAATAGCTACAGTACTATGCCTGTAGTACTGCTTCATGCTTGGGTTTCTTTAGGTATTTATGGTTTTAGGTACTACCATATGATTTTAGGATTTTTTTTCTAGCTCTGAAAAGGGTTCCTTGGTATTAAAATGACCCACTGTTACAGTGAAGGCTAAATCTCTTTTATATGTAGGACTGTTTCTTATAAAATTGGGTACTTCAACAGTTGGGGGCATTAATTTATAAACAAAAGTTCCCTTGATCAATGTGGTAGTTTGAATGTAATTGGCCACCATAATCTTGTAGGGAGTAGCATTATTAAGAGGTGTGGCTTTGTTAAGAGTGGGTATGGCCTTGTTGGAGGAAGTGTGTCACTGGGGGGTTAGGCTTTGAGGTTTCCTATGCTCAGGATACCTCCCAGTGTCTCAGTCCACTTCCTATTGCCTTCTGATCAAAATGTAACCATCATCATGTTTGCCTTCATAGCATCATATCTACCTGCATACCACCATGCTCCCCATCATGCTGATAATGGAATGAACCTCTGAAATTGTAAGCAAACCACCCCAATTAAATATTTTCCTTATAAGAGTTGCTGTGGTCACGGTGTCTCTTCACAGCAATAGAAAGCCTAACCGATTAACAATCTGTAGTAGTCTTCGCCAACATACATGTCTACCCAGGCTTTGTTCTTGAATTCTGCTCACTTTCATGCTTCCATTCTGTTAATGTCTTCACAGGTAAAGTGAGTTTCATACAGGCAGCATTTGGTTGGATCATGCTATTTGCTAAGCAAGTTCATGTTTTTAGTAAAGAATTAAGACTATTTATTACATTTACATTCAGGGTTACTATGAAAGCTATGTCCTTTCCTTTTGTTTATTTTCTTCAGATAGTTCTCAATATTTTGCTATTTCTTCCTCTTGCCTTGTTAACTTCTTGCTCTTACCTTGTGGGTTACTGTATTGGTAATTTTACCCCTAATTTTCACTGACATATCTATTTTTCTAGTGAAATTTATCCACATAATCCTTTATTTTTAATGGAATAATTCATGAATTTGTATTTCATCCTTGTGCAGGGGACATGCTAATCACTGTACAGTTCCAGTTTAGTGAACACACATATGTTCTTTAAAAATGTGTCTGTGTACATGTATGGCAGAGTGCACATGTCAGGAGGTCAGATGACAACTTTAATCTTGTGAGTTCTGGGAGCTGAATTCAAGTTGCCAAGCTTGGCAGCAAGTATTTTAACCTATGATTTGAAAGTCACAGTCTGAGAGTTTAATATTGCCTGTTCATTTGCTATAAGGTGGTGCAGGCACTTGGTATTTAACTTTCTGTGGAAAATGAACCCATAAATGCACTGTGCACTTTAAGTGCTACCTATATAAATAACATTAAGGTGGGAAAAAAAAAGCCTGAGTATTCTAAAAACATCTCTAGTGACACTATAGTTTTGTACGTTTCACCTGTGTGTATCTATAAAATCCTAATTAGTTACTAAGCTCTTACTTAATATGGGTAGCAACTTACTTAATTCCAATTAGATTATACCATTCTCTGAATGATTACAATTAACTTTAAAATTTTATGTTATAGAGAGGAGTGAGAAGCAAGAAAAGGAGGAGGAGGATGCCAAGGGCCAGTCACCCAGATATAGAGCAAGCCATGAAATAAGGAGAGAGAGGTAATATAGAAGAGAGAAAGGTAAAAGTCCGGAGGCAAAAGGTAGACCGGATAATGAAGTTAAGAAAAGCTTGTAGATCAGCTGTTTCTGTGGGTCTCCCCACCCCTGAACATGGGTATCAGTTGGGAAACCAAGGCAGTCTATGGGACCTAACAGGGGAACCTGTATTTATCCCTAGAGCATGGACTTTGGGAGCCCATTCTCTATGGAGGGATACTCTATCAGCCTAGATACACAGGGGGGAGGGCCTAGGCACTGCCCCAAATGATGTGTTAATTCCCCATGGGAGACCTCACCGTCCCTGGGGAGTGAATGGAGGGTGGGATGGGGAGTTGGTGGGGGACATAGGAGGAAGGAAGGAAGAGGGAACTGTGATCGGTATGCAAAATAAGATTGCTTTTAATTTAAATGAAAAAAGAAAAAAATTAGGAAGAAAAGCAGGTAGAAACTAGCCAAGCCGGGCACTCATATGTAAGAATAACTCTCCATAGCAGGGAGGCAGAGGCAGGCAGATCTCTGTGAGTTCGAGACCAGCCTGGTCTACAAGAGCTAGTTCCAGGAGAGTTTCCAAAGCCACAGAGAAACCCCGTCTCAGAAAAACCAAAAGAAAAAGGAAAAAGAAAGAAAAGAAAATGGAATGTTACACCTTCTGGACTGACAGCTTCCAAAACAATACAGAGAAACCCTGTCTCGTAAAAACAAAATAACAACAACAACAAAAAGAATAAGTCTCCGTGTATTTATTTGAGAGCTGGGTGGTGGCCCCTGAAAGTTAAAAAACAAAACAAACAAACAACAACAACAAAAAAAAACACACTACAGGCTGGAGAGAAAGTTTAGCAGTTAAAAGTATTTGCTGCCCTTCCAGAAAATCTGATTGTGTTGCTCAGCACCCACATGAGGCAGCTCACAACCTCTAATTCAAGAGCCAAAAGTTCTGAAGCTCTGACCTCTGCAGACCTACCCACATGTGACACACACTCAAATAAAAAGATTATAAACATAAATCTTTTTTTTTAAGGAATGAAAACACTTTCTGAGTTTTGTTTTGACTATTAAGAGAGTGGGGGATGCTAACTGAATTCAGAGTAGAGACTGAACCAACTTGTAAAGATCTCTATGACTTAAAGTTGACTTAACTTAAAATTACTATAGTCATTATCCTTCTTACTATATTATGTTGTCCCTCCTCCTTTCATTCTTTTTCCTTTCTTGGGGAAAAGAGGCTAACATAAAAGGGTAATAAAAAATAATAGTTAACAAAACCACAGCATAAGAAGGAAAAGAAGACCACTGTGGGATTTGCAAATAAAAACTGCTCCTTCTCCTTAGATTTGCTTAACCAGCTCAAATGTTCCTAATGAAGAACTGGCAGGCCACCAACTGCACAGTTTTACATCTCCCCAAACTCATGGCTGCCACTTATCTATAACAGATGCTCCAAAGTTATAATCATAAATGCTAGAGATGGAAAAGAACTATTAGGTCATCTTTTCTTGGTTTGATGAGACAAGGATTGTTCCATAAAACTGGACAATTCTAGTGCTTTACTGAAGAATTTTATGTATAAATGGGTCACTGTTGTCTTCTTGAGAAAGATGATTTTTCATTCTGGATATAGAGCTACACAAAAGCATAGTTAGGTCTTTTTCTCATGGCAATCCCCTCTATTTCTTTGACACTTCAAGCTCTCTAGTTACATTGAGAATGCTTCTTTGTTTGCTCAAATATTAATAATTTAATAGATTTAAAGAATTTTGTTTTTCCTATGACTTACCACCAGGAAAAATGAAAAAAAAGTTTACTATTAACTGCTCACTGTACAAGCAGCTGTTCTCAATTCTATCTAAGCAATACACTGATCATTTCTTATTAAAGATCATTATGGTAAAAATGAGAATAGTTGCTGCACAAAGTGGCTAATGGACAGAATCAGTGATTATCTGACTGGGATTAGCCATAGAGTTACTGGAAAACTGGGGAAGTCAATAGAGTGACAGGAAGACAGAAGGAGGGACTGGGGGAAGATTTATAGGGCTTTGGGATGGAAAAAACATAGAGAATAAGGTCAGCTGATCGCCCCTCCACTGTTGTTGGATTTATCAAGATTTAATTTCAATTTCTAGCTCCCGAGTTTTTAATAACACTAGGACAATTTAGGTAAACACTGTATCTGGTGTCCAACACATGGCCTTGGATCACACTTAGGCAGTGAAGCAGCCACAGCTGCACCAATCCACAACCCCCAGAGCAGCCAGCTCTGTCCTTCAGGCAGGCTGTTCTGTGCACTACCACGCCCTGCCCTCATTTCCAGTGCCCCACAAGCGGGTGCTTTTGGCTAGGCTGTGTCCCGCCACAGGCAGACAGCTTGGTTCTCTCCCATGCTGTATCCTAGTGAAGTGGGTGCCTCCCACAGCTGACCCCCTCCCTGCATTTCACATGAACAGCCACAGTGGCCCCAACCCACATGTGCAATTATAGTGTGGCTCAGGGAACCCTGCACACGCAGCCTGCCCTCCCTGCAAACAGTCAAAAGTCAAGTATATCAAACATGGAGCATAATGAACATCACCACTGCAGCTGATTTCCACCCCTCACTCTCCACCCTGCTCTACCTATGCTGTTGTGGTGAGACACCTGGGAATTCTTAAAGGGGAAATTACATGTCTATTTTTGTTTTTAAATAAAAGGGGGGGGTTTCCCATGCTAAGTACTGTAGTTATCACAATTCAGGGAGTTGAGATCCTGTTTAGTGCTACTATGATGGCTTGCAAATGCAAAAAGTAAATGAAGGAATAAATCACTTATTTGAGACTGACAAAATACCGATTTTAATTATTATCAGTTTGGTAATCATATTTTATCCCTAAAATGGTTTGATAACTGTGCAAAATATGAAAATTTGACTGATAAGATAAAATACTTAAGACTACTGATGAATTCCAAGCTTTAGAAAACTTACTACTGTTGAATTCCAAATTTAAGGCATGATGGTCTGATAAGATACATGGAGTTATTCCAATCTTTTTGTACCTGTTGAGGTTTGTTATATTGCCAAGTATGTGGTCGATTTTTGAGAATGTCAGATGTTTTAATTGTGGTAAACAAGGTCATTTGAAAATGGATGGTAGGCAAGATGTTCCTAGAAACAATGTTTTTTCTAGAGCTAACCCAAACAGAAGGCCCCAGCCTTCTGGAGTATGCAGAGGTGTGGTAAAGTCTGGCATTCAACTAATGAATGCAGCTCAACAAGGGATAGGTGACATAACTCTTTGCCAATGGAAAATGCTCTGAGGGACCTCCCATAGACCCCAATACCAAACTTGGCTCAATCATCACCTGCTAGCATCAGACAAACTCATCTAAAGAGCAATTTAAAAACCATAGTGCTCTGGATGTGATCAAAGACAGAACAGTTTCAATAGATACAACAAAAAGGTCAGGAGAGACCAGAAAACAAGTATTTTGGCAAACTGGTATAAATGAACAGAGTCTAAAGCTAAAAAACAAAAAAATATATATAAGTGGAATTAAAAATTGAGTGTTTGTTAGACACAGGTAAGGTGTAACATTAATTTCACCAACATCTTGGCATCCAGATTGTCCTCTTCAGGAGGTAAATGCTTAGCTTCTTGGGATTGGAACTTTATCTGAGGTAAAACAAAGTGTAATATCGGTCACGTGCATAGGGCCAGAAAGGAAACTTAAAACCCTATGTGACTAACATAGCAATGAATTTATAGGGATGTGATTTGTGGCAGCAATGGAAAACTCAGATTAACTTCCTTCCAATCTTAGAGATAAACCATGAAATAAAGAATGCTTCTGAGAGAAATATTAAAAGGTACTATCAAGAACAGTCACATACATTTTCAGGTTGTACATAAACAGAGCACAACAGCTGCTGATCTTTCAAGGTAAACAACAGCCCTACCTTTAAAATGGTTAACTGACAAACTTGCGTGGGTGGAACAATGGTCTTTGATATCAGAAAAATTACATGCAATAGCATATCTGGTACAGGAGCAGCTAAATGCTCACCATATGGAAGAATCAACAAGTCCTTGGAATTCTCCTATATTTGTCATTAAAAAGAAATCTGGAAAATAAAGAATAGTATCAGATTTAAGAGCCATAAGTAAGTTGATTCAGCCAATGGGCTCATTGCAACCTTCAATTCTCTTGCCTTCTTTATTACCTAAAGGATGGTCAATTATAGTGATCGATTTAAAAAGACTGCTTTTAACTATACAAGAATAGGATACAGAAAAATTTGCCTTCAGAGTGACTACTTATAATAATTCTCAGCCTGTTAAAAGGTATCAGTAGAAAATACTATTGCAAGGGATGTTAACCAGCCCCATCTTCTGTCAATATGTTGTACAACAGTCATTAGAAATAATTCATAAACCGTTTCCTCGATCTATCATTTACCATTATACTACTGATATG